TACCAGCACATTAACATAGAGAAATCAACAACAGACTAAAGGTAATAGAGTCCATCCTTTCAGTGAAGAAATTCCAGAGTCTCTATCTTTATCTTCAAAAAAAATTCTTCTTTTGATAAGACAGTCTCAAGGAATTCTTCTTGGGCAACAAGGTCTTTCATAGGCAACAAAATCTCAACAAGGTCTTCCGGTATGTTTATCCTTGTTTCGAACAATATCTTCCTCAGGGTGTAGTCTGTATCTTATTATGCTTAGTGCACTAAATAAGGAGTAGAAATAACATACAACATAGATTTTGGGGAGTTTCATGTATCTATGTTGTATGTTATTTCTACTCCTTATTTAGTGCACTAAGCATAATAAGATACAGACTACACCCTGAGGAAGATATTGTTCGAAACAAGGATAAACATACCGGAAGACCTTGTTGAGATTTTGTTGCCTATGAAAGACCTTGTTGCCCAAGAAGAATTCCTTGAGACTGTCTTATCAAAAGAAGAATTTTTTTTGAAGATAAAGATAGAGATCTCTGGAATTTCTTCACTGAAAGGATGGACTCTATTACCTTTAGTCTGTTGTTGATTTCTCTATGTTAATGTGCTGATAACATATTTATTTAATGCTATAAAGTCTCAGACAAGTTATGCCAATAGAGAACATAGAATACTGTTGTATATTACTGTCTTGAGAGTCTGCTAAGATTTACATACATACATTTTTGTTCTTTGTAAGATGGATGGGTGGCATCCTTGAAGTGACTGGACTGACCTTGAAGGAGCTGGGGGTGGTGACGGCCGACAGGGAGCTTTGGCGTGGGCTGGTCCGTGAGGTCACGAAGAGTCGAAGACGACTGAACGAATGAACAACAAAATCATATCTCCTCTCAGCCTTCTCTTCTTCAGGCTAAACATGCCCAGCTCCTTAAGCCGCTCCTCATAGGGCTTGTTCTCCAGACCCTTGATCATGTTTTCACTACAAATGGCAAGAACCCTGTCTCAAAGTGCCAACAGTTGAAGTTAAATGTGACCAGAAATCAAATATGTCCTATCTAAAACAGTTTCCCAAACTCGAGTCCTCCAGGTATTTTGGATTTCAACTCCCAAATGCTTCAGGTACCTTGGCCAATTCTGGGAAGTCCAAAACACCTGGAAGATTTAGTCTGGAAAGCTCCAATATAAAAGGTGCACCTTTGGATGAATGAAGGTGGCATATCCATACATTTCATTAAAACCTTATTTCTGAGGAAGAACAATTATACCTATGCTTTTTTTTTTCATACCACCCATCTGATGTCCAGAAAGATCAAACAAGAGCCTTGAGGCTATGCCCCTCTTTCTTTCTTTCCTCCCCACACCCATTCTTCACCTGTGGTAGCTGCAAGGCTTTCATCACAGCCGAGAAGGCAAAGAGGTCTCCAGCTGACCTCCACAGTTCAACCGCCAACTGGATAATCTTGCTCAAAGTGGCCGCCCGCTCATCCACTGCTCCTGTGCAACCGAGGATGTCCACAGCAATGCCCAGAGTGATGGTGTGGTGCCTGAAGGTTGACAAGGAAGACAGGGATCTTGATCATGTTGAGGAGGCAGCTGCCTTTCCCCAAACAAAGCACCTTTTAAGAATATTTTCCTCCAAAACTTTTCCCTAGAAGTATGGAAAGGACAGCTAGTGTGGTGTTGTGTTGGATTGCTACTCTGGGAAACCTGGGTTTAAATCTTTGCTTAGTCATGGAAACCCACTTGCTGACTAAGAGCAGGTCTCACTCAAGAGTAAGATGTCATGCTAAAACTCCTTGGAGTAAATCCTGCCAAGAAAACCCTAGGAGAGGATTGCCATAGATCAGTGCCAACTGGAAAGTACATAACAATAGTAATAGGGGAACAGATGTTGAAACTGAGTTAGAAGGGACTCAAAGACACATCTAGTCCAATGTCCAGCCAACTGAGGTAGCCACTAGCATTTCTGTTTAGAAACATCAATCTCCACCAACTCTCACAAAAATGCCAACAAGCCACAAACAAGGAAGGTAGCAACACTGAAGAATACAGAAATGCTGGACCACTCGAAAAACCACCATGTCAGACTACACAGAGAAGCCATTGAAATCCACAAGCATGTGGACATATTCAACAGAAAGGAGGAAACCATGAAAATGAACAAAATCTGGCACCGGGATTGTGGCGCAGCTGGCTGAGTGTCAGCTGCCTTAAGATCACTCTGACCAAAAGGTCATGAGTTCGAAGCCAGCCCAGGTTGGAGTGGGTTTCCAACCAATTGTGTAGCCTGTTGTCGACCTTTGCAACCCGAAAGACAGTTGCATCTGTCAAGTAGGAAAATTAGGTACCACCTTAAAGTGTGGGGAGGCTAAATTAACTAATTTATGAGGCCATAAAAAAGACTCCAGCAAAGCACTCCAGCAAAAAAGCATGCGGGGAATGCGGAAGTACTTCATCAGTGTCGCAGATGGACGATGAAAGCGACAGCTCCCCTGGCGGCCAGAAAAAGTTAAATAGCCTCTGTGTATGTCTGTATATGTTTGTATGTCAAAAATTGGCATTGAATGTTTGCCATATATGTGTACACTGTAAACCGCCCTGAGTCCCCTGCGGGGTGAGAAGGGCGGAATATAAAAGCTGTAAATAAATAAATAAAAATAAATATTAAAAAAACTCTAAAATTACAACAGCAAAACAACAGAGAGGAAACAATCTGGGACATCTAATCACCTCTCAACAAAAGATTGCCCCAGGCACTGCCAGGCCATCAAATGCTAATCAAGGTGGTCAGTTGAAACATTCACACCTAGCTCCAGCAGACAAGAGTCCTTTGTCCCACCCTGGTCATTCCGCAGATATATAAACTCTTTTTCCTAGTTCCAACAGACCTCACAACCTCTGAGGATGCTTGCCATAGATGCAGGCGAAACGTCAGGAGAGAATGCCTCTAGAACATGGCCATATAGACCAAACAAACCTACAACAACCCAGTGAAAACCACATAATTGAAAGTTTTTAAATCTTCTCCATCACTAGCACTCTTTGTGGCACCAGGGGGAGCCATGGCACAAGGAATAGAAGTAAATACACACCAGCCAGTGCTAAATATATTTGACTGAAGTGGGAGGAAAACCCTGTACATTTCAAGACACTGGGCTGAATCTTAAAGTCCCAATTATAGTGGATTCGCTAGATTAAAGAGATTTATCAATGTGTTGACTCATTGTCAACAATTGGGATTAACCAACAAGATTTAGGTTGTGATAATAAGAAAAAAATTCCTCTAATGGGTTGTTGTAGGGTTTTTTTCGGGCTACAAACCATAAAAATGAACAAAATCTGGCTACTAGTATTAAAAAACTCTAAAATTGCAACATCACAACAACAGAGAGGAAACAAACAAGGACATCTAATCACCTCTCAACAAAAGTTGGCTCCAGGCATTATCAGGCCATTATATGCTAATCAAGGTGATCAGTTGAAACATTCACACCTAGCTCCAGCAGACAAGAGTCCTTTGTCTCACCCTAGTCATTTCAGAGATATATAAACCCTTTTTCCTAGTTCCAACAGACCTCACTACCTCTGAGGATGCTTGCCATAGATGCAGGCAAAATGTCAGGAGAGAATGCCTCTAGACCACGGCAATATAGCCCAAAAACCCCCCTACAATAACCCAGTGATTCTGGCCATGAAAGCCTTCGACAATACAAATTACTCTAATTCATAAAATAGTATGCTCAAATTTGACCATTAGATTTTCTTCCACATATAAGCGAAATAACACTTAGAATTTGATACCCCCTTTAATTATTTAGTGTTTTAATAACTGCTCCACCTCCCAACAAGTTCTTCTGGAAATTTTGTAATATTCTCATTGAACTGATTACCCTGACATACACCTCAGCCTCAGAAAACTGATTCTTAGAATCAACCAAACTAAAAACGACACCCTCCTCTTAGGCAGTGTCACTAGCCACCACACACCTATAGCCAGCCACAACACATACACAACGCAATACCTTTCCAGCAAGTCTTGGCGCAACTGATGCCCCTGAGGCAGAGTGATGAGTTCCAGGCCTGAGCTCACCCCCATTGCTTGTCGCTGCTCCTTGGAGACCCCAATGATTTTGGCAGCCTGAGGAATGGATGGGACAATGGATTAGAAGTGGAGATAGGGGAGCCCTTCCTTCCACCTTTTTCCCAGGGAAATTTCTCTTGCAGCTTACATTTATTTATTTATCTATTTGTTTAGAACTTTTATATACCGGTCTTCTCAACCTCCGCAGAGGGACTCAGTCCGGTTCACAACAAAAGATTCATAAACAGTAGTTTAAAACATCACATCCCATAATTCACTAAAACATTAAAATACAATCATATAATTACATAATGGCAAATCGTCACAATGAAGTCACAATTCATTGCCATCCATCCGTGTGGTCAGGAGTTATTGACTCATTCATCAAATGCTAAATTCCAGAGCCAGGTTTTCACCAGTTTTCTAAAAGTCAGGAGAGAAGGGGCAGTTCTAATCTCCAGTGGGAGAGAGTTCCAGAGCCGAGGGGCCACCACCGAGAAGGCCCTGTCCCTCGTCCCCACCAGACGCACTTGAGGGTGGTGGGACCGAGAGCAGGGCCCCTCCAGAAAATCTTAACAACCTTGATGGTTCATAGGGGAGAATCCGTTCGGACAGGTAAACTGGGCCGGAGTCGTTTAGGGATTTATAGATTAACACCAGCACTTTGAATTGTGCTCGGAAGCTAATTGGCAGCCAGTGGAGCTGGCGCAACAGAGGAGTAGTATGCTCCCTGTACCCAGCTTCTGTTAGTAATCTGGCTGCCGCTCGTTGGACTAGTTGGAGCTTCCGGGCAGCCTTCAGAGGCAACCCCACGTAGAGAGCGTAACAGTAGTCTATACGGGATGTAACCAGAGCGTGGACCACCATGGCCAAGTCAGACTTCCCAAGGTATGGGCACAGCTGGTGCACATCCTTCCCACAAGGTTGGTAAGTTAGAAAAACTGCTCACTATAGAAAGCAGCTGTGCTGGCTGCAAAAGAAAAACATCAAGTGATCTCTCAAGCACCAATGGTAAATAAATAACCAAAATCCTGCATCAAGTGACATAGCCACGGCAGTGATGTTTTTTGTCACAGACACATTTCCTGAGGCAACACCTTGGAAACCAGATGGCAGCACCAAATTTGAGATTTCCAAGGCACTGGTGAGCAGGGAACTAAGTGAAAAAGCATGCTATCACTTCCCAGCGGAAAGGTACTTTGGACCCAGCAGGTATAAGCAACATAATTTTCTGCCATGAGAAGATTTGAGGCATCTTAGCTCAGTCTCTGGCTTAGCAGCATGGAAATCCCTATGCGTGGCTTCTAAAGTGGGTTCTTGGGCAGACTCTCAGTTGCAGTAATGTGAATTTCAGTATTTACGCCTAGCTTATGGCATCATAAACATCATCCATTTTTGATTCAAAGATGTTTTGAGCCACCAAAACATTTAGGAAACAAACTATTTTGTGGACTATCAGAGAGAGCTGCAACAAAGAGCATTCCCCATCCTGTTTACAAATGTTTCAGTTAAGTTAGTTTTTCTCCTGACATTAAGTCCAGTCGTGTCAGACTCTGGTGCTCATCTCCATTTCTAAGCTGAAGAGCCAGCATTGTACGTAGACACCTTCAAGGTCATGTGGCCGGCATGACTGCATGGAGCGCCGTTACCTTCCCGCTGGAGCGGTACCTATTGATCTACTTACATTTGCATGTTTTCGAACTGCTAGGTTGGCAGAAGCTGGGGCTGACAGCAGAAGCTCACATCACTCCCAGAATCAAACCTGCGACCTTTTGGTCAACAAGCTCAGCAGGTCAGTGCTTTAACCCACTGCGCCACCGGGGGCTCCAAATGAACCAACAGAGGTTGACCAGATGACCTTCTCTGCTTCTTTCTCACTGGTACATGTGAGAGGAAGCCACAGGGAGGAGGGAGCAACTTGTTTTCTGCTTCCCTGGAGACTAGGACGCGGAACAATGGCTTCAAACTACAAGAGAGAAGATTCCATCTGAACATTAGGAAGAACTTCCTGACTGTGAGAGCCGTTCAGCAGTGGAACTCTCTGCCCCGGAGTGTGGTGGAGACTCCTTCATTGGAAGCTTTTAAACAGAGGCTGGATGGCCATCTGTCAGGGGTGATTTGAATGCAATATTCCTGCTTCTTGGCAGGGGGTTGGACTGGATGGCCCATGAGGTCTCTTCCAACTCTTTGATTCTATGATCACAATTCATGCTTTATTTTCTCTAAGGATTTCTAGGTCTTCTGCTTTGGAAAGGGGGAACATCCATAATTGCCAAAGCTGCCCGTAACTACCTCCTGAGGCCTGGGGCTGCTGTGTGAATGTGAGAGCAGCAGCCTAAGGCTTGTTACAGTACGTCGTAGCAGGATCAAGTGTGTGTGTTAAAGAAAAAACTTATGATGTTAATTGTTATGTGCAGCTGGTAATGTAGGTCAGCCAGCATGTTTGAGCCACAGCTGGTGGGGTATAACTGTATGGATTTTAGAATACAGTGCGGAGGAGAAGCATTATGCTGTAATGCTCTAACAGCTATGCTCTTTGCTATGGTGGAATAGCTTATTTACTCAAGGTTTATCCTTTGCTCTCATTTGAATGAAGATGAAGAAGCCTTATTCTGTGTTACTTACAAGGACTATGTAAGTTTGTTGCACTGTTTGAGTTTGTAAGCAACACTGCAAGTTTATGTTTTGCCTCTGCTGATAAGAGTAAAGTTTTTCTGTTCCGTTTTCCTCTTGCCTGTGTGTCTTTTGCATGGGACTTGGCTAAAATCCGCTTCTGCATAACAAGGCTTTGGTGGGCAGAGCATCAGCAATCTTGCTTGCCAATCACTCCTGGAAGCCATGGGTCATTGGCAAGCCATCACTGTTACTCTGCCTGCCCTGGGTCTTCACGGGGTGTAACAACAGTCATTTCCCTTGCCAAGCACTATTACAGGCTCACTTGGTGAGGACATGGAGAGAGCCCTCTCAGTGGCTGCTCCAAAATGACTTTACACAGAAGGCTAAGCTGGCACACTAACTGCTCTCCTTTCACCGACGGGCAAATACATTTTGTCTAAGCAGTCTTTTAATGTATAATCATAGGAAGGCTTCTTACTGGAGTGTGCTTATTTATTTTCAAACTTTTGCAATTATACTGTTTTAAACGTGATTATGTTAATTATTTTTAAAACTATATTATTAGGTATTAACCTAGTCTTTAATGAACCACCTTGGGTCCCATTGCAGCAGAAAGATGAATAGTAAATGATTGACTGAAGTCCCATTATTCTACATTACAGGAGCCCCCGGTGGCGCAGTGGGTTAAAGCTCTGTGCTGGCAGGACTGAAGACCGACAGGTCACAGGTTCGAATCCGGGGAGAGGCGGATGAGCTCCCTCTATCAGCTCCAGCTCCTCATGCGGGGACATGAGAGAAGCCTCCCACAAGGATGATAAAAACATCAAATCATCCGGGCGTCCCCTGGGCAACGTCCTTGCAGACGGCCAATTCTCTCACAACAGGAGCGACTTGCAGTTTCTCAGGTCGCTCCTGACACGACAAAAAAAATCTACATTACAGTCATACATATACATAACTAGGTGACAGTGTTAGTCTTAAATTAATAAAATCCACATAAAAAGGCAGGTCACCTCAAACTCTATCTAGTACTATGAATTATAAGAGAGCTTGGAAACACTAGCTGGTGAAATCTGGGAGTTACAAAAGTAATTTTTCTAAATTATAGATTCAAACTTGTTCTTCCTATCCCTACCAAATCTTGGACTTACTGTTATAAGGAGGAGTATCCTCTGCTCAGCAGAGAACACGGAAAAGATTAAAGTCCCCACTGTGAGACTTTACAGTTCTCTGTATAATGGATACAAATTGAATTCCCTTTATGGGGTCTAACAAGAATATTGGCCTGCCTCCTATAGTTAGTAAGCCTACTCATAGAATCAAAGAGTTGGAAGAGACCTCGTGGGCCATCCAGTCCAACCTCCTGCCAAGAAGCAGGAATATTGCATTCAAATCGCACCTGACAGATGGCCATCCATCTGAATTAGATTTGCCTCTGCATTGAGATAACAAATGCTTCAGCAGACCATCTCTATTTGGGAGCCACAGGAAATGTCTCCTCACCTGGCAGTCCATCTGCAGAACATGAAGTGCTGTTGTGCGGCAATCGTGCTGGGCAAAGATCTCCTTGAGGCGCTTGAGAGTGCTGGACTCTAGGGGCTTGTTGTCAGGACTCAAAAGGAGCGAGTGGAAGTTTTGGGGCTGAAAAGAGGAGACTCCATCCATCTGGGGCCTCTCAAATTCTGATTCCTCTTCAGCCTCCACCAAGTGGGGAAGGGGAGAAGGGGTTGGCTCAGTGTCCAGGAACCCAAAGGCTGTCTCGGTGATGTGGGCCCGGCCACGCCACCTCTCTTCCAACCGCAGTCGTTCCACGTGGCTTCGTGGGCCATCAGGAGGTCTGGGGACCAGTTCACAGTAGTCGCTCACCAGCACAGACAAGGCCCTCAGGGGCTTGGGAGGAGCCTTGGAGTGGAGCCGCCCTTCAGAGCCACTCAATGCCGGGCCTCCCAGCAGGTTAGGCAATGGAGCATTTGCCCGCAGGACAGGGTCGCTCCCGGTGCGGAACGCAGGAGATAAGGGCGGGAGCTGGCTTCGGTCCTGAGTTCCAGGTGAAGCTTCCGGGCTGCCTGTTGAGCAAAGAAAGTTTATTTATTTATGTGCTGGTACGGCTGTACCAGGAGCTCCAACTTTATTTGCTTTGTATGAGATGTTTGCTTGCAGTCCAAGGTTGCAGGGACTCTGCAAGTAGGTGGCTTCCTTTGGTTGCAGTCATAGGGCAAGTCACCTGTCCATCATCGTTAAGTTTTGGTCCCGCCCCTTGCTCAGGGCAATTGGGAAGGGAAGGGAGCCATTTTTTAGTTAGTCTCAGCAAGGAAAGCTAATGTACAGGACGTGTGCAAGCTTCCCCTGTACAAAAGCTTCAACCCTTAAGACTTTCCGGGGGGAAACAGTCTTAAGAGCATCAAAGGATCTCCAAAGATTTCCAGGGAAGCATCCCCAAAGCTTTGAGGACTTTCCGGGGGAAAACAGTCTTAAGAGTCTCCAAAGATTTCCAGGAAAACAGCCCTAAAGACCAAAGAACTCCAGCTGGAGAATATCTAAGCCTTTACTGGTAGGTCCACTAGGTGCTTCGAGATGCAGTTCGACCCAGTAGTTCGGCCCACATCAGTAAGGGTTAGATTACAGTCAGCCTGGGAGAAGTTGAAAAGGGGATTTTCCTTTAAAGTAAATTATTATTATTTGAAACACAACAAGATGAGACCACAGCAGACACTCTGCTAGCTGTTGAATTGGATCACACCTTGGACACTTCCCAAGTGTATTATTATTATTATTATTATTATTATTATTATTATTATTATTATCCCGCTTTATCTCTCCTGCAGGAGACTCAAAGCGGTATGCCATCTGTAAAGCAGATATTTTTAAATGGTGTGTCCAAATTACTTGTATCTCTTGTTAGTGTGTCTGCAAGTTGTTTCCTACTTATGATGATTCTATGGGGATCCTATTGAAGCATTTTCTGGGTTTGAGAGGGTATTACTTGACCAGGGTCACACAGTTGGTTTTCATGACTGAGAAAAAATTTGAATGGTGGTCTCCAGAGTGGTAGTTCAACGTTCAAACCATTACATCATGCTGACTCTCACTTTAATCTCAATTTGTTTGTATTCCTACGAAATGGATCTTTTGCCAGTGCAAAAAACCATGGGTTCAAAGGCATAATCTGGCATCCTGGGGCTCAGATCTCTAGTATGAAACCTCTTGAGCTGACTCCTTATCTTTCAACCTGAATTGAGTGTAGCTTCTCGATATCGATATTTTGCCACTAGCCATACTCAACAAAGCAGATGATTCATGAATGTTTTGTTCTGCTCTCCCTGTCCCACTGAGAAATTATGGGGTCATGCTGACTTGTTTCTTCACACAGATCATTGTTCCCCTGCTCAAATTAGACTCAATAGTACGGATTATGTGGCTGAAACAACCAACAGAAAAATAGGTCAATGGAACAAGGTGTCCCATGAAGAACAGAACCCTTCTTGTTTCCAGAGATTTTAAGAAAATCCAACCACATGGCTCTTCAGTCTAGTGACAACTGGGTTTCAGAAAAAATAGAAGCTGAACTCAAACTAGATGTCTTTGCTTGTGTCAATTTCATTTTCATTCTTTTGTTTCCATAGCTCTCACCTGACAGTAAATTGCTGTCCGACTGGGCACTCTGCAAGGAAGGTCTCTGTCCAACCTGGTCTAGGCTACTGGGGTCACTTCCACATCGATCTTTCATTCTGTAAGAGAAAAGAGACAGAAAGAGAGAACTTACTGATCTTGTTGTTCATTTGTTCAGTCGTTTCTGACTCTTCGTGACCTCATGGACCAGCCCACGCCAGAGCTCCCTGTTGGCTGTCACCACCCCCAGCTCCTTCAGAGTCAACCAGTCACTTCAAGGATACCATCCATCCATCTTGCCCTTGCTCGGCCCCTCTTCCTTTTCCTTCCATTTTCCCCAGCATCGTTGTCTTCTCTAAGCTTTCCTGTCTCCTCATGATGTGACCAAAGTACTTCATCTTGGCCTCTACTATCCTTCCCTCCAATGAGCAGTCGGGCTTTATTTCCTGAAGTATGGACTGGTTGGATCTTCTCTCAGTCCAAGGCACTCTCAGAACTTTCCTCCAACACCACAGTTCAAAAGCATCAATCTTCCTTCGCTCAGCCTTCCCTATGGTCCAGCTCTCACATCCATAGGTGATTATGGGGAATACCATTGCTTTAACTATGCGGATCTTTGTTGCCAGTGTGATGTCTCTACTCTTCACTATTTTATCGAGATTGGACATTGCTCTCCTCCCAAGAAGTAAGGTCTCCTGATTTCCTGGCTGCAGTCTGCGTCTGCAGTAATCTTTGCACCTAGAATTACAAAGTCTGTCACTGCCTCTACGTTTCCCTCTCTATTTCCCAGTTGTCAATCATTCTTGTTGCCATAATCTTGGTTTTTTTGATGTTTAGCTGCAACCCCGCTTTTGCGCTTTCTTCTTTCACCTTGATTAGAACGCTCCTCAGTTCTTCCTCGCTTTTGGCCATCAAAGTGGTGTCATCTGCATATCTAAGGTTGTTAATGTTTCTTCCAGCAATTTTTACCCCAGCCTTGCATTCGCCAAGCCCTGCACATTGCATGATGTGTTCTTACTGATCTACCTTATTCCATAAACCCTATCTTTCAAAAACCATCAGAGAAAAGGGCTGAATCTGGAACTGCTGGCAGCAACCAGATCGCCCCAAACATTGACCTCATACTGATGAGATTTCAAAAGTGTAAGCACATGGTTGTACATGTTTTACTTCAGATTAGCACAGAAGAGGAAGCTATACCTGTGTATTGGTCACAATGGCTTGTGTGCATTTTTTAAGGTCCAGTACAAGAAACATGGGCAAGATGGTGCTGTTGCTTCATGCTTCCCATAGGAATCTATGTGCCTTCCCGGAATAATGACCCCATAGCACTTTGTCCTCCAAAGCACTTTACATTTATTTAAGTCTGCTCATATGCAATTCCACAAACACCAATATCATCTTCCATTCATATCCCAGCATTATTTCCAATTTTAACTTAACATTTGGCCTTCCCACTGTTTTTAATTATGTTGTTTTATTGATAATGTTATTTATCTACTGTCTATGTGTTTTTAATTGCTTGTATTGTTGTTATTATTGCTTGTATTGTTGTGTTTGGACTCGGCCTCATGTAAGCCGCACCGAGTCCCTTGGGGAGATGGTAGCGGGGTATAAATAAAGTGTTGTTATTATTATTATTATTATTGTTGTTGTTATTATTATTATTATCTGGTTGACCACTATGCTGTATATGACAGACCTTTGGTTTCACCAAGCCAGGCTCCTCTTATGCACTTAAAGTGTATGTGAAAACTCATCCCTGTAGTGCTAAGGCATGGCTTGATTCTAATATAATAATAATAATAATAATAATAATAATAATAATAATAATAATAATAATAATACTTTATTTATATACCGCTCCATCTCCCCGAGGGGGGACTCAGATATGAGTTATTTCAATGGTACCTGGTATGCATCGATTCACTGGTTAGGAAAACTCTAGCACATCTATCATAACAATTTTGCCCCAGGTTGTTGAGAATATGGTGGCTTAGACGTCTCTTATTCACAGAGTTGCCACAAGTCAAATTCAATGTGAAGTCTGCTAACCAATTTGTCAACTTTCTTGCAACTCATTACAATCATCTCACCGGATTAGGTTCCCTTCTGTTTCTTCCCCAACTGGGGCAGCACAAAAGCTGAGCCGTCTTAAGGGTGCCTCATCTTCTTTATTTGGTCCAGGGGGCTGGCCAGTGTCACTGTAGCGCTCCTTGATACACCGAAGAGGCACGTTCCTATTGACTGGATGGGACACCACAGCTCCTGAGACATCTGAGATGGGCTTCCGGTTGCCCACGTAGAAGCGCACTAGAGCAGGCACATTGTCAAACTGCTCCTGCTCAAACTGAAAGAGGGTGCGGGAATAGCCCTTCCGGGGGCGGAGCACGACACGGATGATCTTGAAGTGCAGGGCTTGGCCCCTCCAGGAGCACGACAGGACATAGTCGCCTTGGCTGGAACGGGAATCTCGGATGAGGAAGTCACCATCATCCTGCAGCAGGGATTCTGCCTCCTGCAGCCGAGAGAAGAGAGAGAACGTGTATGGCTGACAAGCTAGGGTTGGTGTTACAGCAAGATAGGAGCACTTTAGCCTATGAAGAGGAATTTAAGAGTCAACTGAAAGTTACTAAGAGTTAGTTAGCAACATGATTAGGCACAACACAGGACTTCTGAACCTTTTAAAGCTTTGTAATCCTTGCTTTCCGACCACTATGATATGAACAGCTTCACTCATCAAAACTCTTTCATCTATTAAATGTAAAAGCCTTAGTTTCGCTTCACTTTAAACCATTTCTGCAGAAGTGAAATGAAGGTAAAAATGCTCCCTAGAATTTTTGGGCTTGCACAAATCTTGGCCCGGCCTTTTAAATTTTTAAATTGCCTTGTACAGGCAGGATTACTTTGAATATATGTGTGTGATGGCGACAATTTTTATGCTTATATTTTGTTTTGTTAATCTTATGGTTATATTGTTTTTTTACTTTGTATGTTTTGTGATGTTACCTGGGAACAGCTCTGAGTCCCCTCGGGGAGATGGAGCGGTATATAAATAGAGGTATTATTATTATTATTATTATTATTATTATTATTATTATTATATACTAGCCATCCCCTGCCACGCGTTGTGTGTATATATATGTGTTGGGTTTTTTTGTCGTGTCAGGAGTCGCTCCTGTTGTGAGAGAATTGGCCGTCTGCAAGGACGTTGCCCAGGGGACGCCTGGATGATTTTTGATGTTTTATCATCCTTGTGGGAGGCTTCTCTCATGTCCCCGCATGAGGAGCTGGAGCTGATAGAGGGAGCTCATCCGCCTCTCCCCGGATTCGAACCTGCGACCTGTCGGTCTTCAATCCTGCTGGCACAGGGCTTTAACCCACTGCGCCACCGGGGGCTCCTCATATATATATGTGTGTGTGTGTATGTGTGTGTATAAGTGTGTATATATTTTTGTATTTCTGTGTTTATATGTATATATGTATATTGTGTATGTGTGCTTGTGTATATGCATATGTGTTTTGTGTGTGTGCATGCATATATGAATATGTGTGTGTCTGTAAGTATGTCTGCATGTGTATATATATATATGAATGTATGTGTATATGTATATTGTGTATACGTGTGTGCCTGTGTATATGCAGATATGTGTGTATATGTGTGTATGTATGTGTATATGTATGTGTGTATATGTGTATATTTGTGTGTGCTTGTGTATATATATGTGTGTCTGCCTGTATGCATGTGTGCATATGTATATGTATATGAATGTATGTGTATACAAGCCCTATGAGGAGCGGCTTAAGGAGCTGGGCATGTTTAGCCTGAAGAAGAGAAGGATGAGAGGAGATATGATAGTCATGTATAAATATGTGAGAGAAAGTCACAGGGAGGAGGGAGCAAGCTTGTTTTCTGCTTCCCTGGAGACTAGGACGCGGAACAATGGCTTCAAACTACAAGAAAGGAGATTCCATCTGAACATGAGGAAGAACTTCCTGACTGTGAGAGCTGTTCAGCAGTGGAACTCTCTGCCCCGGAGTGTGGTGGAGGCTCCTTCTTTGGAAGCTTTTAAACAGAGGCTGGATGGCCATCTGTTGGGGGGTGCTTTGAATGCAATTTTCCTGTTTCTTGGCAGGGGTTGGACTGGATGGCCCATGAGGTCTTTTCCAACTCTATGATTCTATGATTCTATATGATTTATTTTGGGAGGTTTTAAAGTCCATTCTGCTGGGTTAATTTGTGTGTTTTTATGAGTCGTGGTCACTCATTGGCCTGATAGGTGTATTGTGTCCAAATTTGGTGTCAATTTGCCCAGTGGTTTTGGAGTTATGTTAATCTCACAAATGAACATTACATTTTTATTGATATAGAAGAGCAGTACGTCCCCTGTCTTGGTCCTAGAAATGCCAAGATAGGTGGCAAAAAGTGGCAAAAATGTCCCCAACCTTAGACAACATATTGGAGCAAAAAAGGTTTTTAACTTCTTTTTTTTCTTTTTCTTTTCTTTTTTTGCAGTTTTTGATCCTTGGGGCCCTTGTGGTTACAAACAGCCATGGAAGAGTGCACAGGCAATCTGTGGATTACACTTTGCCCTGTTTTGGTTTAAACCGTTCCAGTGCTTGAACAGTTAATCTTTCCAGAGTGCCCAAAGGGCAGAAAGAACAGGGAATAAAGTCACACATTTCTGTAGTGGACTATTCTATGAGCAAGTTGGCTGCCAATTGTGTGCACATGCCAGCATCCAATGTCCTGCAAGCAGTAAAGGAGTCATGATGGCAAACCTGAATGCAGCCAATAGCACAGCACAAATTAACTAACAGGCATACTGCTTCTGTGAGAGGTTAGCTATTTCAGCAATGGCCTGTTTCATCCATGTCTGCTGGTTCTTAGAGAGAATGAATCCTTTCAGACATTGGGTGGCTTGGGAAATCACCATCAAAATGGTACAGATAACGTTTCCAACCCCCTGATGCTGAAAGCATAGATGTTGACACAACAGGCCATACTAGAATTAGCCAGCAACCAGCTGGAGGTGCACACTAAGCAAGCTATACTAATAGTATATTACCATTACCATCTCTGGTAATGTTTTATAACAGAAAGATTCAAGTTGGATAGGGAAGGCACCACAAGTATCAACACCACCAGAGAGTTTACACTGGCAGCAACAGGCCTACCCATTTAAAGCAATTAGTGTACTTCAAGCATACTTCAACAACTCAGCCTCAGGAAGATGTTATGAAGAGTTATCCCTCTGCTTCCCACACTAACTTTGGGCTTATTACCCGACGTGGCAGGCAGCCATGGTACCAAGCGTGGCTGCGCAGCTGCTCGGTGCCAAGTTTCAACTCCTCCTCAAGCTCCTTCCTTAGCTTCTCACTGGCCAGGTCCATTTGCAACTGAAATACGCCTTCTGCAGAAATCAAAATGGATCAAAAGTCAGTGAAATTTCATATTTACAGGCATTCTGGAGTCCCTAGCTAAGACTAATACTTGTTTTGCCCTGAAAAGACGATTGTGGGGGCAAGAGAGGTATTAAACAAGTAACATACACAGAACACAACAGACATTTCTGGAAATAATTGCCTATGTGAATATTAACAAAAATACCTTTTGGATTTAACATACTTTTGCTGAAGTTGATGCCATGCTGTTAATGTGAATGTTATCTATGCTGTATTCACAGAATATAGTCCTTTAAGGGCCAGTTTAGGAAAGGAGTCAGGCTTTAAAAATTGGATACAAGAAGCTAAACCAGAAGACGATCATTGGGGGGGAAAAACTAGATAGAATGCAACGATGGCTTGAATAAAAGAAGAAGGACCAACTTGTCAACGGGGGGAGGGGGGATGGTTAAGGGATGGAAAGAAAAAATGTATTGAAACCAAAGCAATGTAAAGTAAAGATAAATGTATTACAAATAGTTGTTAACAATATAATAATTTTTAAAAAAATTAAAAAGGAAAGGAGTCAGGCTCTCAAGCTCACTGGGTGATTTGGGGTCAGCCAGTCTCTCTCAAACTAAACAGCCTCACAGACCTACAATTGATTTCGGAAGAAGAACTATATTAACTACCCTAAAAGATGGGATATACATCTTTTAAAACAGGGGTCCTCAAACTTTTTAAACAGAGGGCCAGATCACTGTCCCTCAAAGTGTTGGAGGGCCGGATTATAATTTGAAAAAAGCATGAATTAATTCCTATGCATACTGCACATATCTTATTTGTAGTGCAAAAAGCACTTACGAACAATACAATAATTAAAATGAAGAACAATTTTAACCAATAAAAATTTATTAGTATTTCAGTGGGAAGTGCGGGCCTGCTTTTGGCTGATGAGATAGGATTGTTGTTGTTGTGTGCTTTCAAGTCATTTCAGACTCAGGCTGACCCTGAGCAAGGGTCGAATAAATGACCTTGGAGGGCCGTATCTGGCCTCTGGGCCTTAGTTTGAGGACCCCTGGGTTAAACATTTGTTCTGGCTGAACTGCTGACCAAAAGGTCAGCAGTTCAACTCTGGGGGAGTGGAGTGAGCTCTCGTCTGTCAGCTTCAGCTTCTCATGAAGGGCTATGAGAGAAGCCTCTCACAGGATGGTAAAACATCCGGGCATCCCCTAGGCAACGTCCTTGTAGACGGCCAATTCTCACACACCAGAAGTGACTTGCGGTTTCTCAAGTTGCTCCTGACACGAAAAAAGTCTGGTTTTCACAACCATATATAGAAATAACACTGCGTGGTTCAGCTAAATTTTAGTATGCAATAATATATCTTGATGTTTCAGGATCTTTTTCAATTCCTTCACAGCAGCTACAAAGCACAGGGTGGTTTTCTCTTGAATTTCGACTAGAAATTCAACGGATGCCCCTGGGAGTCACAGAAAGCTGTGGTGTCTGAAACACAGTTTATGAAGCACTCAACATCTTCCATAATATCTCAAGCAATCAAAGAAGCAGGTTTTTCCCAATAACAATAGATCAGTTAGGATGGCCTTGCAGGATCAATACAGCAACAGCAATGACCAGCTTGCAAGTGAAACTCTGCCAGCTATTTTAGGAGGAAGGATTTAATCATTAACAGGAAAGGATGGGCAGTTAGGCCATGTAGTCTACAAAACCATGCTCAAGGCAGGTGAAAAAACACAAGCCAACAGTTATGCTATGCCCTGCCCAATCCTACTTATCAATATGTCTCTGTTAAAATAATCTTCCATTGTAAATATGTATTACCATCATTGTTCATCCTGACCCAAAAAAAAAAAAAAAGAGAGAGAGTGAGAAATACTGTATATTCTGGCATATAAGACAACTTTTTAACCCAAGAAAATTTTCTCAAAAGTCAGGGGTCGTCTTATATGTGGGAATTGTCTTATACCCGGGAGTCATCCTATACGCTGGAGTAGCTTTATGCATGGGAGTCATCATATGCGGGAGTCACCTTATACGCCGGGAGTCATCTTATAGAGCGGGTGCTGAAACTTCCAATCCGGATTGGAGAATCTGTGGTTGCTGCATATGGTTGGAGCTCAAAAATGGCAGTGGCCACGTCCCTGCCGTATGCAGCGACTGTATGAAAGCATTAAGAGCGACGCTGTACAAGTACGGTAGAAGAAAATCCATTCATCAGGATCCGTGGACTTAATACGGTCCCGATGGTGAGGTGAAGGGGCGCCTCACCGGGAAGGTGTAAGTGAAGGGCTGCAGGCGTCCGGGGCACCCGGGGTATGGAAAAAAGAGATAGAGTGGCTCTGGGCCCAGAAAAACACACCTCTTTTACCTGTCTGGCCTGCCCTTGTATCCTATTACTGTACCTCCTCCTCTGCCTCTCAGATCTCGCTCCTGAAGACTGCAGTGAAGTGGTGGAGGTGCGCATGTGCGAAATCTGAGAGGCAGAGAAGGAGGTACAGTAATAGGAAAATTACCATATTGAAATCAAATCTGAGGCTTTCAAAATATTTATTTGGTGTGTGTTGGAAGAGGGGTAGTCTTATACGGCGAGTATATCCCAAACTCTATTTTAACTGGAAAAGTTGGGGGTCGTCTTATACGCTCAGTCGTCTTATATACGGTAGGTGTCACAACATAAATGATCTTCCTACCTCAAAAGTCCCACAGTTTCTCATTTTGATTAGGTATGTATATGGCCACATATATAGAAGGCCATCTGTATCTGTGATGCTTGATGAAAGGACCTCCAACCAATACAAAAAACTGTGAACGGTAATGTCCCATTACATTTAATGGTGTAGTAAAATGGCACCCTGTATACAAAGAAGCAAACACCTCTAATAAGTGCCAGAAAGACCCTGAGGATCTGAGGAATGATGGGGTACGCCTCCACATCACTGTAGGACTATGTGGGAGGCAAAATCAAGCCTTGCTTAATATTTTCTTAATATTTTGAGCTACAGTTGGTTGAATCCTTGGGTGCAGAACCTGTGGATATGGAGGGCCAACTGTAGTAACATATCCTGTATTTTATTTATTTATTTATTTAAAACATTTATATTCTGCCCTTCTCATCCAGATGGAGACTCAGGGCAGAGCACAGCTTATATACGGCAAACATTCATGTGTGCATACATAAATATTAAAAACATTTATCTCAATATTAAAATACACCATTTAAAACCGTCTTGGTCATCTGCATTAAATCTAATTGGCCTGGTAATCTTTCCTATTGCTGCTTTATTGTCCTGTCCTGAAAGCTTGGTCCCACAGCCAAGTTTTTACCATCCTTCTGAAGGACAGGAGGGAGGGGACCGATCTGATCTCACCAGGAAGGGAGTTGCGTAACCGGGGGGGGGGGGGCAATCATCGAGAAGGCCCTGTCCCTCGTCCCCACCAATCATGTCTGTGACAATGGCGGGACAGAAAGCAGGGCCACCCCGGAGGATCTTAATCTCCACAATAGTTCATAGGGGGAGATGTGTTCGGACAGGTAAATTGGGCCGGGGCCATTTAGGGCTTTATAGGCCAAAGCCAGCACTTTGAATTGTGCCCGGTAGCAAACTGGCAGCCAGTGGAGCTGGCGTAACATGGGAGTTGTATGCTCCCTGTATGCCACCCCAGTTATTAACCTGGCTGCCTCTCGTTGGACTATTTGAAGCTTCCAAGCAGTCTTCAAAGGCAACCCCACGTAGAGTGTGTTGCAGTAGTCTATCCTGGATTTTTGTTGGAACACATATCTTTTCCCACTCAGTGCCAGTGATGGGAAGCTGCTTATTTATTTTCTCACATCTGTAATGGAAGTGAGAGGTTTGTTCTAAAGGGAAATAATGCCTTTTGATTTTCAGGCTCTGGTCCAACTTTCTCTCTACTTTCTACCACTGCCACATAAGCAAAGCTACGAAAAGGCAGTGTGACACCAAAGCAGTCTCTCGGATTATACAACAAAATAATGTACACCAGAAGTGGGAGACTGTATTGAGTCAGAAAGCTGCATGTGGTTGAAGGGTCAGCATTCAAATGCCAATGCGCATATATGGAGTTGGCAGTGAGAGAGATCTTAGCAAGTTATGACCACCACAAGGAGAGATATATTCCCCTTCTAGCTCACGCTGAAGCAAAGAGCACAGCAGGGGGCAGAGCAGCCTTCCATAGCATGCAGCTCCGCCCCTGTCAACCACCTCCACCAAGTCTGGCCTCCTTAATGAGAGCATTCAACACACACACCCCAACTTGGTTGCTTCACTACATCGGCTATTGCTGCAAGTAATGACAGTGTGAATAAATTGTCAATATTTGCTTGAGATAGTGCTTGCAGTTCTGGAGGGACTTTTTGCATCTCATAGACTTAGCATGGGGATTTGGTTAACCAGTTAAAATTCATGAGTAAACCAGGTTTTTTTAAAAAAATCTGAAACATTTGGGGGGTGGTTGAACCCCTACCCCCCCCCCCCCCCCCCGCCTCGCTACAGGCCTGGGTCCAGTGATGGTTTTTTCAACAGCGGTTTTATAACAGTTTGTTTTAAACTGTCTGAAATATTGCCATCCCGCAATATGCTAACAAACCCCCTATGGCTTCCTTTATCAGCCAGGATGGGCAGGAGTCTAGGATGCATGTGGTCGCTCTCACCTCTCCAAGTATCTTGTCCACATCCCCGGGTTGCACTAATTGAAATGAATCCAAGAAAATCAGACAAGCAAGTGCTCGTGTTACATCCTCAGAGACTGCCATGGGGTCAAGGTAAGAATGGATCCAAGTGACTTTGTCCACAAAGAACCAAGCAAATGCTTCACAGCGTGCTGCCGAGTTGTCAGGGACCCCGTCCTGAACAACAGGATTTAACAGTCCTCTGACAACCCAGAACAGCTCCACCGGGCGGTTCTTTGGAGACACAATATTGGCTGTAAAGGAGGATTTCTTTGCAGCCTTTATTGCCGCAGCATATGCCCTTAAAAGCCGTGTTTG